AATAGCACAACAACAACAGCCTAATGTCTGTATGATAAAAATACCGAATCGATAGTTAAGAACAGTTTTTCCTCACCTGGCTGTCTCCTCCCCTCAGTAGTTCTTCAGAGTAAACCAGACGCAGAGGCCTGTCAGTGTCTGTTGTATTTCATTACCTCTCTGCTTAAACCGCTACTCTGTGCTGAAGCAGAAACGATACAACGTTCAACGTTTTCCTTCATCTGACAAGTAGCAAGTCTACTCCACTTTATTCACCAAAAACGTTGTTTTAAATATATATAATTCACCAAAAACTGTTCTGTAATCTGGAACGTCCTATGCTGAGCTCCAGTTAGCCGCCTTATCTCACTGTGCGAGAGGCAACTGCGTCATGCGTCACGGGCAAAAGGTCAAAGGTAACAAGGTGACCGGAAGGCTTATTATGTTGTACAAAAAAATAAATAAATAAATAAAATAATTTTAGTACATGTTATTATGTGTCAGAAGAGGGCTTTGAAAATAATAATGCAAAAAAAAAAAAAAAAAAAAAAATGACAAAAAGGGCCCTTTGGGGCAAGGAGCAAAAAGGACAGATGCTCAAGCAACCCCAGCCTCCCTCTCTGCACGTGCCTGCCTGAGAGTGAAGTGCTGCGTTATGAACACATGAAACAACTGAATCTCTGATGTGTGTTGGAGCTTGATTATTAAGAGCTTTATATGTGAGAGAAGAGTCTTAAATTCTGAAGAGAAGCTAAAACAGGAAAAATATGATGTCTTTTTTTAATTGTCATCTGAACTCTTGCTGCAACATTTTGGATCAGCTGAAGGACTTTAGCTGAATTTTGTGGGCTTCCTGATAATAAAGGATTAGAGTAGTCCAACACTGAAGTAAAGTAACAAATGTACAACTAGTTTATTTCTAATTCTGGCAACATTTCGGAGATGAAAGAAGTAACTTCTAGAAACATGATTAATATGGGATTGAAATGACATATGCTGGTCAAAAGTAACATTCAGGCTCTCTACTTTTTAAAGCCAGTTTAATGCTGTCCAGATCAAGTGATTGACTGGACAGCTACTTTTTCAGAGGTTCTGGTACAAAAACCATAACTAAGAAAGTTTAGAGTCATCAAGGTAAGCCTGCAATCTACCTAATAGATTGGATTAATCAGGATTTATTGATCAATACAGCTGAATACCATTAGCATAGCAGTGAAAATTGATCTGATGCCGTCTGATATAGAGTAGCACAGAGCCCTGTGGTACTCCACCAGTCACCCTGGATTGTGAAGAAGACTTATCTTATTCACACTGACAAACTGGAAACAGTCAGAGAGACGAGATTTAAACCAGCCCAGTGCTGTTCCCTCCATATCTACATGTACAAGACATTCTCAGAGAATATTGTGGTCAACTGTGTCCAGCAGGGAATAAAGCTCAGACCAATATTAGACAGATAGAAATGGGATTTTATAGACTTCAAAATGCACCTGTATTATGTACACAACCATGATCTGACGTCTGTTATGTCCTTAATATGGAAATAAAAATAGATTTAAACAAATTCTTGTTAAATGTCAGAGTAAGTGAATTTGTTAATTCATCAGTAAGTTAAATTAGCTTGGTGGATTTGATTGTGTCTTCATGCGTCAGCTTTGACTCACACTCACCCTACAGGGATGATGTGAAACGTCCCTCCGTCCGTCCATCCGTCTATCAACTTACATCCTTACCCCCATTAAGGTTGGGAGGAGTGCTGGTGCCTCTACTGTCCTCTCCAGGCATCAGCAATACTTGTTCTCATGCTCCTTCAGATAGTTTTTGTAGCATGGATTGTCAAGACTGATTGTAATACATAAAAATAAATAAATCAGCTAAGTATCATGTACCAAAATAGCCAACCTCTAATCCTTTACAGTGAGAGGGACTCCGTTTTTAAACCGGCTCTTCTGCATCAAGTTTCCATTTTTCTTCTTTTGGCTCTCTTCAGGTTTTCTTCATGTAAACTCATATTAGGCTGAGGCCATCCTAAACGCACTTCAGGAGTGAGTGTGAGAGTTCAAGGCTGTGTTCATCCACCACCACCTGTTACTGTCACCTCTGGGTCTCCATCCCCTCACACAAGATAAAACATGTAATAAACGATAAGGAAAATGAAGGTTTAAGCACACAATAACAGTTCACTTTTATATAATCAACCGAGTAGGAGTAATACAAATCTATGTTCAAGTTACATTACGACAAATATACTTAGACAACACTGTCTGACAATCAAGGCACATTTCTTAGTAATAATTGAAAACTACTCCTTTACTTGGACGTGACGTGTCGTTAGAAATGAGTAGTAAACCCACACACTTGTAGCAGTATGAGGCATTTTCCAAATTGTAATGTGGCCTGTAGCTGCATCCCTACATGGAAATATTGAGAGTTTCAATACAGAATATCAGTTGTGCTGCCGACACGTGAGAACACGAGATGAACATGATTAAGATTCACCGAGCAGCTCACTGCTCTGAGACGGGAGGGTCAGGACCGAAGCGCCGCTCGTTTTCAGTTATAGCACAAAGTTAAAAATGAAAGCCAGAATAAGAAATCACACTGAAAAACCACAACATTTGAGTGCTCTCACTTTCTACTGAATTCCTGTGTCTGTGGGTGTGCATTTGCAGATACGTATCTGCTGTTTGGGTTGCTGTATAGATGCACGCTGTATTCCTGATGTGGCTTTCAGATAAGCAAAAGAGAGATAACTCTATCCTTTAATTTCAAATATTTACATGCTGCAGATGTCTATAAATGTAAAAAACAAGGAGAATATTTCAAGGAATACCCAGGAAATTTGTGTAATGACTTAAAAATAGCTAATGGTAGACATAAATTGAAAATATGCATCTTTGTTTATTCAAAGCAAAGTTTAATTTTGTGTCTGCACTTTTTGATGAGTTTTGTGGAATATATTATTTTTGATATCAACATTTGCACGTCAATCACAGTGGCTTGTGAAAATATTAATACTGTCACAAGCCATTATTAATATTAATACTGTATTTGTATTAATACTGCATTCAGTCATTACACATATACAGTGCTCAGGACTTTGTCTGTGACATTTAAAACTGAGCTAAAGTTTCATATTCTTAGATGATCCGATCCTGTACCCATTCAGATGATTTGGATTGTTCTGTAGTTAACTAATTTCCAATGTTGCTTATTGATTAATTTAATTAATTATCACAAAATATAATTTTATAATTTTCACAAAATTTGATTTAAGAATAATCTAGAAACATTACGTTCTTTTGATAAAACAAACATATTTACGTTTTCTCCAGTGGGTTCTTTCATTCATGAAATATTATTTTTTTCTTGATACAATAATCTAACACTCAGTTCTGTTCAGTCAAAACCTTTAATGGCTCCATTTAGAGGGAAATTGTTTGACAGTATTGGTAAAAATATAAAACAAACAAACAAACAAACAAAAAACACAGAACACTCCAGTTTCCAGCCTATTTCAAGTTAATGAAAATGGTTCCTAGGTTTCTTCTTAGTTGCCAGAGTCATGGCTCTGTTGAACCATCAGTTCTCCCCGCTCGCAGCACTAACGATTTTATGGGATTCTTCTGAAATAAAATCGATTCCAATAGAAACAAAAAGACTGGCATCCTCCCAAACACGATTGCTTCATCCTCAGGAAGTGATGCAGCACTGATTGTACCTGTAGAAACCGAAATGTGTTTGGACTGTTTTACGTCAGCTGAGCTTTTCATGTTGTTAAAAATGTCGGCTTTGGAGGTTTCTGTTCTGGCGGTGTCATGTTGTGAACGGCGGGGGAAAAAATGGCTGCTCTGAAGAACACAGCTAAAGCTACCACTAAAACAAGATAAAAACAACACTGGAAAAACCTGCTAGATATAGAGTTCCCATGGAAAATATGGTTAAAAGGGAAGAGGACGGAAGGGAAATGTGCAAGAGAAAGGAGTACCGGATCAGTGAAGGTACAAGTGGTAAATAAATGAGGGCTGGGACTTGGCCGAACTTCACGAGCTACAGGGGCGATGAAGACACGCTGAAGCAGTAGGAGACCTAAGAGAGCATTGGCTTGGAACGAGCTTGAAAGAGCTGATGGACAGGACAATGTCCAAGGAGCAGAAAGTAGCTCACAGGGAGGAGAAAGAGTGGGGAAAACTGAAGAGAAGATGATACGGACTGTGAAATGTCTACTCTGAGAAGCTCTCAGAGAAATGTAATGGCTTGGAGTCAAGGACGAGGACAATATCTATGACTTTCCTGAAAGGGTGAAAAAAAAAACGATGTCATTGACTTCATAGTGCAATTTATGAAATCCAAGATTCAAATCACATGGGATGAATTGAAACAGGACATTGCTCACTGGTAAATAAACCAAAATTCAGATCGGTCCACTCTCCTGAGAGCGACACTTCCTGGATCACAAGGTGATTAAGATGGAAACAGAGGATTCACTTTGAGGGGCAGTCAAGACTGCACAACGGAGGTGCAAAAGAAAAGGGGGAAGGTGTATTAAACAGAAGAAAAATGCCCAGCTCAAAGTGTTTCTGGACACAGGAACAAAGACATTTACCACAATTGAAGAAACGGCGCCTGTGCTGAAGGAAACGGGCATCAATGTGAAGGAGGTCAGACCAGAGAGGATCCGCCACCAAGGTGAACCAAGGTGAAGCAGAGGCAGATCTGAGGATGACATCGTCCACAGTGGCACCATCATAACATCTACATGACCTCAGGCTCATTCTGATGGATGTTCTTAGTAACCCTTATGAAACAAAAATATGCTGCTGTATATTAGGAAAAAACATCTCAATGCACTACACAATATATTCTCACACATGAAATGTAGTATTATGTTTTCCAATATATTGCAAATACTTGTAAATTCAAATATTTGCAAATATATTTGAGAATTTCATTTTTATTATTTGAATTTATAAATGTAACCATTTAACCCTAACCCTAATGTAACCATTTTTAAATGGAAAATTATTTCATTTCATTTTTTCTCAAATTAAATGAAATAATATAATAAAAATGTTTCTCTATGTGTAGCCTATATACATCTAATACTTTTTTATATTGACAAATTCTCACCTTTAGTTGAGTAAAAATACATACTTTTACTTTAGAGCAAGTTTGGCTGTAGTACCCAGATCTGGTTTTACACAACAAAATAACGGCTAAATAAATAAATAAATGAGATCAACATAATAAGCTAAATAACCCAGGACAAATTAAGTCTTTGCTCTAGTACAGTCAGAGCAAAGCTACCCTACTTCTAACAGAATTTATTAACATAAGCACGATGTATAAAGTTTGAAATTAAAAATATAAGAGCAGTAAACAGTGTTTCTGGTGCAAAGCTGTTTTTACCCTTATTTGCTTTACAGTGTAAAATTATATTTTTTGTGTAAAAACAATAAAATAAAAATGTATAATATATCAAAAAATGGGGATAAACAAATACATCACTCAAAAACGCTGTTTTTGTTCATGGCTGAGAGATGTGCTACCATCCCCCACCTCAAATCAGGCAAGTGGTTTCACCACATACGTCAGGAAGTCAGGTGTGCAACATGTATCTTCACCCAACAATGCAGGAACAAACCTTACCACTTCCTAAGCACAAGTTAGAGCAATTTCTCTGTACTGTAGTGGCAAAAACAGGATGGAAAATTTTTCTATGTAGAATAAAAACACAGACATACACACACAAAAAAAAAAATCTGAGTGGAAATTTGTATGATATGGAACCTTGACTTTAGTTTTCAGACTCTTCCAACATACAGACATCAGGTCTAAAAATATGAACTTCTGGTGCTCTGGTCCTCTGTCAGACCGGGACAGCTGTGGCTACAGGGTAGTGCACCTTGGCATCATGTGTGTGTGAATGGGTGAATGTGTGAATGGGTGAATGTGGTGTGAAGCGCTGGACATATACAGGCCATTTACCATATTACGTTTGTATAAAGTTGACATTTTTTTTCTAAGGTAGTCATTGCTTCTGGAACTATGATATATCCTCTTCAACTATTTTCATGATATATTACTCTTAACTCAACACTTTCAACTCCTTGCCATAATTAGCAACAATAAAATCGAACCTGTCAAACTACAACTCATCGTGTCCTGCCGCTTTCACTCAGTATCACGACTGACGCACCAGCAGCTGCTGGCTTATTTGTGTTTCACAATCTTTTATGTTGCTGATCTGTCGGTGCATCAGATTTCGTGATTCATAGAATTTGTATTGTTCAGGTTTGAATCCAGTTCTTCTTCTCCTCAAGCATAAGAATAAGTACTGCTACCTGCCTCTGTCTTTCATCAAACTCAACACTCCCTACAGATTTCTTTAGTGTTCCACACATTTACATCCAGATGGTTCTGTAATTTTAATCTTTCTATATATTTCTTTTTTTTAGTTTAGGAGCAGAATGGATGAGATACAAAAGCATAAACAGAGGAGGCCATCTGTGCTGCGTCACGTTCCACAGGCAGCTTCCAGACAACAACATGGTAGGGAAATGTTTTTGTGACTTGCACATCTGTGGCAATTATTCCACCTGGTGCTGACTTTAGATCAGTCTGATTCTCAGCTTCAGTGTCATTCCAAAAATATGCGGGGTCTTTTGAAATCACAGATTTTGGTTTTGTCTTTCAAGAAATATATTATATGCAATATATGTACATAACAGTCCAACAAAGTTTTTTTTTTTCCTGCCGTAAAATTCAGACAGCAGTGGATCTGGTTCTCTCTGTAAAGAGGAGGTGGACACAGAGCATCTTTCCTGGTCAAATTCCTCTCTGATGCTGCCAAACCCAAACCTTTATCTGCTGTCACCGAGTGGAGACAATCCGAAGCAACCTTCAGTCAAGATCGGACTTAACAACGGGTGAGTAAATGCAAACTTAATGTACTTACTGCAACTGCCGTAAAAGAGCAACATCATTCAGTGTCCAGTAGTTGACTGACTAAAACAATACATGAAAACACTTAAGATGAATGATTTAAGATGAACGAGTTAGTAAAATCCGGATTTGTGGTTAGGGAAGGATCTAAAGTTCAGCCTCACCTGTGGCATCTTACAACGGGCTTTATTTCTTCTTCTTGTCTAGAGGAGGGATGGTTAGGAAACACCCTGATGAAAGGAGGCACTTAGGAAAAGAAGGGAACAACTCATAATCCTCGTAAATCAACTTTACGAGAAGTAAAAAAAGAAGGTTGAGCACAACCTAACAGAGATTCAGGGAGCTAATTAAAGGTGTGGAAACATTATGCCTCACATTTTTGTGTTTCATGTAGGGTGGCTATGTTTCTCAAGTTGGTTCTTGTGGTTGTCAGAAAAGCAACATTACATTTAGGAACAAAATGTAATAACTTCTTTGATGAATAAGGGATTTTCTACTGTTTGTTGTTGAGGATGACAGGAGACCTTTCTGTTTCTCCCAGGATACCAGAGGGGATGAGTGCTCTGTTTGTGAGCGGTCTGTGCCGCTGGCCAGGCTGTGGAGTCGTATCAGAAAATTTCTCCACTTTCTTAAAGTAAGTCGGGTTCCTAAACAGAATCCTAACAACTTCCTATAATCCAGCTGTTTAACGTAGATGTTGAGAATCCCCCAGTAGATATTTGTCTGACCTATTATTAAGACTATTAAGTGTAATATAAGTATTATATTACCTTCCATTGTTATGAAAATGTTACACATCCAAAATAAGACAAGAAATTTGACTTTGCATCATGGTCATATCTTGCCAAGCAAAATCCATTCAAGAATTTAGGGGAGCTACACAAAGAGTCGACTGAGGCTGTATTTCAAGGGCATGTCTTTGAAAATAAAGTTTTTAAGACGCTAAGGAAATGCCTGGATAACTCTGACTTATTTTGTGTTTCAGGCACCTCCACTCTGAACACAGACACAATGACAAAAGCATCGCTCAGTGGAGGGTGCAGCAGGATATCGTCCAGTACATGGAGCGTCAGGTGAATTCCAAGATGCCTGAGATATTTTAAATAACAGTATTTAGGCATGTGGCGTTACAGACTGTAATGCATGGATCTATAACTCATTGGAAAATGTCTCTACATAGTGCTTGTAGTGTGACTCAGAGGAACCAGTCTAGGTTTAAGAGCAGCACAGCTGGAAAGCAAAATGAAAGAATACTAGGAGAGGCTGAGTTTTTCCACTAACATGAATGTTCCTTGATTATGTTTTACATTTTCAGTCACTAAGCAGACTGGTTTTACAATGCAACACTTACACATCACAAGTCTGCTGGAGAGACCAAATGCAAAACATCGTAGCGTCTTTGCTTAATCGGCTGCAGAATTTGAACTCCACAGAGTTAATGCATCACTCTTCTGTTACTTTGGAACGCTGCAATACGTGACAAATTTGATCACAACCTGATGTGACCTGACATTTTTCTGTGTTTTTCAGCTCGTCCTGGAAAAACAAAAACTTCTCGCAATGCAACTTCATCTTTCAGAGAACAACTACTCTAACCTGGTATGAAAGATCATTTTAGCTTATTTATATAGACAGTAAGATGTTTCTCTGCTGTATATTTGAAAACTTAAGAAAATGTTTGCTTGTTTACATTTACATCTGTAATTGCAATCAGTGAAAAGTCTAAATAAAAATCTTAAATTCCAAGATGGGCTCGTGGCCCAGCGGTGGGGCGAGGCCCATGTGTGGACGCCCCGGTCCTTGGCGCGGCCGCAGAGGGTTCAGGTCCTGGGTTGGGGGCCTTTACTGCATTTCTTCCTTCTCCCTCCCAACCGGCTTTGCTGTCTGACCATTACTGATTGAAGGGCACTAGAGTTGACAAAACCTGAAAAAAATAAATAAATCAAGATGTCACTGTTAAATCTTAATTTCTATCTTGTAGAATAAGAACATGGAATGATTAGTTTAAGTCTGTTTTTATTTTTTATTTTTAACAGAAAATGTAAATTGATGCTCAGCATTTTTCTTCTGTTGCTCCTCCAGGCTCAGGCAATTAACGAAGACAGAATCCAACTGGGGGAACTAAAAAATCCAAGTCAGACACTCCAACGTGACTGGACAGCTAAAGCCTCCACACACCTGCTGCCAGGTAACCTGGTGATCATATTCAAGACACACACATATGCTCAGATGTGATGTGTATATACATATATACTTATATGTATATGTATAATATATAATATGTATGTATGTATGTAGAGAGAGAGTTATCTTTATCTTTGTTGAGCCACTTATCGCACTTATCTGTGTGCTCTTCAAACCATCGGCGTTTGGTGAAGAAAAAAATGCAGTTAGCTACATTTTACAAGAAAAGATAAAGTAAAAGTTATTTTATAAGCTGTCTGCTGTCTGGAGTCTGCTTTACGGAGCCTCCGTAAAGCAGACTCCATCCTAGCTGACAACCTGCTGATGCTGGTCACCACTGTGTTGCTGTGGACTGTTCTGTTTCCTAACTTGTCACCAAAGTTTAACAAATTATTAGATTTGTCCTTGTATTTCTTTGCTAGCATGTTGACCTGTAGTCGTTTTGCAGATTTGTTTCCAGGCATTGAATGCTACAAATACAACAACATCAGGCCTCCATACACCTACGCTTACCTGATAAGATGGGTAAGTACATTCAAGTTTACATAAGATTTGCAAATAGATTTTTTTATTTTTTTTTAAAGTGACGTCAAGGTTCAGATCGCTGCAGTATTAGTGTAAATACATGCGTACAATGAGTGTGAGGAAACATGATGCTTTCTTGTAACAAGTTGCTCTTATATGTGACCCTTATTCTGTAGTCTATCTTGGAGTCTCCAGACAAACAGAGGACTCTAAACGAGATTTACAACTGGTTTACCACCATGTTCTTCTACTTCAGACACAACACAGCAACGTGGAAGGTTTAAACAATTCAAGTGAATTCATTCTGTACACGTTTCACCTCTCTCACAGAATCGAAATGTTAGCTATAGCAAAAAAACAAACAAACAAACAAAAAAAAAACCTTTCCTTGCTCATCTTCCCAGAATGCAATACGTCACAATCTCAGCCTTCACAAGTGCTTTGTGCGAGTGGAAGGAGAGAAGGGAGCTGTGTGGACAGTGGATGAAACAGAGTACCAGAGGAGGAAGGGGCAAAAATATCACCGGTAAAAAGATTTCAGGATTTTTGGTATTGTAGCTTTGCTCCTGCAGTTTATTGGAATAAATTGCAAATTCGTGTAGAGTCCATCTTTCACGCTTTGTGTTTTCAGAGACTGTCCAGTGAAGTGGCTGACTTCTTACTCCCATTTCTGTTCAGAGGAGCCGACAGCAGCAGACAGCAGCACAGTGTCTCTCCTGTTGTCTAGATGTTGAAGTCTGGTCCAAACTATACATTTTTGGATTCAAAGTCATTGTTTTTATACATGTTTTATTTGATTTTCTTATTGTTTGTTGGCCTGACCATATGTGTTATGTTTTAATATGATTAATGGTTGGTGGTTGTATTAACTAAGATCACTTATTACACAAGCTGAATTCTAATTGTCCTTTTTTTCACACCAGTAAAAGATTAGAGAAACAAAATAAAACCTTTACTTTTTATATTGCCCTGAATTACAAAGAACCTTTACTTTACAAACAATAAAATGGGCCACAATCACATTTAGTAAGACAACTTACTGTTAAAAAAAGATTTCTCGGTGGCCATGCTAACCAGCCATGCTAACCTACTGCAGAGAATAGGGCTGAGCGATATTGTCAGTGAATGATATCGCAATATAAATCTTTAAATATATTGATCTCAGATTTTCCACATCCTCTGCTTTTCTTTTCATTTTATTATTTTTATTGAATTTGCCCAAATATGTAACTTCACCAACTTCAGCGCATCAACGGGAAAATGAATGAGGCCATGTATCGCAAAATCCTGGATGAAAACTTCCTTGCCTCGGTCAGGTCACTGAAAATGGATCCTGGATGGATCCCAAAACCTGCAGCCGAGGAAATAAAGAAGTTTCTCCAGAGGAAACATAACAACGTCATGGAAGAATCTATGGAGAGAGCTGAAGCCTTGTTTTCCAAACGCACGCCTAAAAACCTGAAGGATTTGGAGATGATCTGCAGAGAGGAGTTACATATAAAAAACTACAAGACACATCTGACTGCTGTGTTTCGCCAACAGGGGTTTTCCCACCAAGTATTAAATATTGTTTCACTGGGGGGGTTCAAATACTTATTTCCTTCAGTAAAATGCAAATAATTTTTATGTAATTTTCTCAGTTTTTTCTTCTGATATTCTTTGTCACTGTTAAAATAAAGCTGACATGAAAATGTGAGATGTTTCATTTTTTTTTGCATAAAAATGTTAAAGTCTATGTTAAAGTCCACTGTATACAAATATAAATATATTTGTAAATTAAAATATAAATTTTAAACATAAAATGTAGTTTGTTAATTTTCTATTAATGACTATTTAACAGGTTTTGCTGTTTTAATTATTAAATTTAGATTTATTGTAGTGAAGCTGTTCAGTTTTACAATATGTAAACTCTTGTTTAGATTATCTTCTTTTACAGGCATTTAAAAAATGTAAAAAATATTTTAGCATGGTAGATAACTTCATTAAAAGTTTAGTTATATGCGACACTCATCCTCTGAACTAGATTCTACAGTTCTAAGTTGAAAGGAATAACTTATGATTAATAAAAGTTAATTTATTAATCATATGTATTATGTATTTTTAAGTGCATATTTCAAAAGCCTGCCAAATGTTTTTAGGGGTAACAAATATTTTACTGTTCAATATTTTCAATTGCAGCATACATTCACTAGATGGCAGCATATTTTCTTCTGTCAGTCTGTGTTAGACGTCTTTTTGGTTTAGCTCAACTCTTCCTCCTTTTGTGTGTGTGTGTGTGTGTGCGTGTGCATGATTGTTTGTCCTGTCTGTCTCTGTGTTGCCCTGCGATGGACTGGCAGCCTGTCCTGGTGACTCTGCCTCAGCACCCCTGGTGACCCCAACTAAGGATAGAAATATGCCATCTATATCTCACTCTCCACCAGCCAAAAAAAAAAAAAAAACAGCGACAGAAGCAGAACCTTCCCTTGCCGATGCTCTCTTGCCTCAAGGAAACAGAAATTAATTAGCTTCTTCTTCAGATCTTCCCGAAGAAGAGGCCAGATATACTGGAAGCCAGTTATGGAAGACGAGGTCGACTCAATCCATTAAACTGGGAGAAAAGGAAACAAAATAAGTCCCCAAGTAATCAGAAGACATCACCGGAATGACGTTTGGAGAGCAAAGAAAGACTCTCCAATATGCAAGAATCAAAACCTGAGGTTTGTTCAAGATTTTACCAAAGAGGATAGACAGACAAGAGAACAACTGGCCTAAAATCAAACAAGCCAGAGCCCTGGGTAAGGTGGCAATTTACAAAGGCCGCATTGCTGGGACAAATGGTCGTACAACAACAAATTAGTTAATTGTAACTTAAAGAAATTCTCTCAACAGGAATGCTTATTTAAATGTTCACTGCAACTCTGTAGTTTTACACTTGTTCTCAGCAGATGTTTAGTGTAAGGCTTGTTGTTGGAGCAGTTATTTCTTCAGGAGTAACTAGATAAAGAAACATAACTAGAGTCACTAACAAAGGACAAGACACAATAAATAAACATAACTGGAATCTCTAAGAAGGAGCTGGAGTGAAAACAGAAGCAAGCCCGAATTAAAAGTGAAAATTAAACTGGAGAAACAAATAATAACAAAACCCCAAATAAACTCAAACAACCAAAGATCCTGACACACACATACCTATAACCCTGGACATGTGTAGCAAAGTTTTGTCTTTGACTTCTCACTAATAAATTGTTTGAAGTTTTCCTGCCAGAGGGACGAAGTCTTAAACGCAGCCCCTGCCAATGTATTTTTGTTACAAATAGAAAAGCTTAAGCTTTGCATTTAAAGTTCTCGCTGCACTCTTTAAAGATGCAAAGTGAACTTATGTGGATAAATTCACTTAAAGCCTTTAGCTAAAAGCAACTCCCTCCAACAACAACCTACACTGCATCCTTCTCACTGGGAAAAAACGTCTCTCCTCAATCACACAGCCAGCAAATCTATAGCTATGAATAACTATCATCCCATATATGACCTCAGCTAATCACAAAATAATAAAAAAGACATGGTTCTCCTGCCATAGTCACGCCTTCGCCCTGGAATGCTGTGAGAGGACGGTTTAGTCTACATCTGAGGAGTAAAGCTTTTCTTCTTCCTGCATGATGCTGGTGTGAGAGTGAGAACCAGTGAGCGAGGATAGCGTTGTAGGGGATCAGAGCTGCTTTGGGTTTCCAGTTCTGTCTCTTTGATCCGTATCCCCAGGCCTGCCTGCCTGCCTCTCTAACTCAGGCCTCTGCTTGTGATTCCTGACAACTGTCAGCGTGAGATAAGGAGGTGGAAAGGGAGCCGAGTGTGTGAAGGGGGGCAGCCCCTTTCTCCAACCCAAGGCCCCATCTACCCCACACGATGTAGCTTCACAAAACACACTTATGTATTTAATAATAATCATTGTTTTATTTTTTTTTACAAAATGTCCTGAATTATTTGCAAGAAATTAAAGCAAATACAGTCCTGAACGTTGGAAAATAAAGACTTCTGAAGGATGGGCAGATGACAACGTGCCTCCTTTTGTGGAGGAGAAAAGGGTCTGCTTTCATTTTCAGCTGCTGTTAAATGTTGCAGAAATAAGCTCTTAGACTGGGCAGCTTGTCAGCTGGCATAGTTCAGTTTCAACATATCCAAAAGGATAAGCAAACATTTAGATTTTTCCTTTAACCAAAAATAGAACCCTATGGTTTGTTGAAAATTACAAATAGCCTGGAAATATAAAAGCTGCTTTAGTGGGGGGGAAAAAAGGAAAACTTTTTTTTTTTCTCAAAATTCGGACCTGAAATGTTTCCTCTCAATTCTCCGTTGGTAAATTTAAACTTAAATTCTGATTACAGTTTTTTAAATAGTTTTACCCTCCGTATCCTTTTAGCCAGTGATAGTTTTCTGTCACTGCTGACTGCTAATGTTCCATTTTGTATTCTGTTTCTAAATTACATGGCACAATATTTAAGTTTAATCAAAATGTGTTTCATTTTGATTTAACTGCACAAAGATCATCAGCAGTCTGGCTGCGTTAATCTGTCCTATTCACATATTTTTTGCCTGCAGTTTCTTAAAAATGCAGCAAACATAATCTGCACGACCTTATAGGCATCCAGACAACAGTGCTGGGCCATAAACGTATGGTGCACTGGAATCAATCTGAATACAATTACTGGAGGATATTTCTCATCTATTTTTTAAAATAAATACTTTGTTAATGTTCCAAATATTTTTATAAGCGGTCTCTTGTGTGCATCCTTCTCACCCCAGTGAAGCATTTTTGCATGTCTGTTTCCACCTGTTTGTTCTAATGTGTTAAATGTAGATGCAGAAACAAACTGGGTCATGTTTAATAAACCATATAGGCGGTAAGTAAATCCATCCACCTCTGAGTAGTTTACTCTCCCTGATGATCAGCACACAGTGTTCACACCCCTTAAATTTTTCCATATTTTTGCAAATAAAAAACTGAAAAGTGTGGTGTGTAAAAGTATTCATCCCCCAGAGTCAAGAGTTTTAAGAATTACATTCAAGGGAAAGTATTGTGCAAAATCAACTTTTTTTTTTAGCTCTACATCGTGCTATAATGTTATTCCCTCATCAGCAACATACCTGGAGTGATGCCTTGAATCTTTCATGCATGTTTGTAAAAAATTCTTGAATCTCATGTAGCAGTCCAAAACACCTGCTTGGACCTGGCACCACCTTTGAGATGCAGCTCCTCCCCGGAGCTGAAGTTTCCAAGCTTCAGTGCTTCAGCCTCACAGATTAGCCCTCCACTAAGACTGCCCCACTCAGCTCCTTCAGACTAGCCAGCAGCAGTCAGCAAACACCGGGTGAAACTGTGCAACTTCTGAGCTCAATTCAGGAGCTTCTTCTCAGTGCAATGCTTGTAAAAAACGATGTTAAACAGTTAATAGAGGAGCCATGATGTGATGACTTTCTGAAGGCGGAGTTTCAAAAAGAGTAGGAGTTTTTAAAGAGACAGATGCCCAATTTCAAGGCATTAAATTAGGAAGAAAATTTTGAATCTAACACCAACACCAAAGAAATACATTAAAACTAGAGTAACTGAGAATAACTAGAAACAGAAATAAACATAACTAGAAGCACTAAGAAGAACTGAACTAAAGTAAAACAGAAACAGGACTGATACAAAAACACATAAATGAACAAAACCCAAACAAAACCCCCCAGATCCTAACAAGGTCTTGATGTGGCCCAAAGATGAAAGAGAATGTGCGACACCCCTGTGTTAGAGAGTTAATCCTGTATATTTCTTGGAGCCACACATAGATAAGAAGGGCACACACACACACACACACACACACACACACACACACACACGAGGAAACTCCTTACAGGGAGCAGCTCAGGAATAGATAAAAACCAGTCGCCCTTCTTCTCCTGCACTTCTCTTGGTCTCATCCTTTAGAAGAACTGAGCAGCAGCCTCTCGCTGCAGAGATGAAGGTATTTAAATCAGCTAATCTACCACAGCAGTGGTAGACTGCGGTATTTAATCTACCTGGTAGCTAATCGACTACAGCAATAACGTATGTATTAATAATCGCTCAATTGCATTGTAGTTTTTTGATGCATATGCTCAATATGAGGGACTGTTGTAAAGTTGCCACAGGCCAATGTCTTGACTATCAATCTGTAGTCTTTACTCAGATGTTATTTATTTTGATCAATAAGGGCAATAAATCGAACACAAAAAATTGGTCATGGGGCCAAATTTTGAAAAATGAGGTGTACAAAAGAATTCAGATGTATAAAACAGGGTACTCACCTGATTATTCCACTCTGATTACAAAAACATTTCACTATTACGTATTATAGTAGTATGTGGTGAAAACAGAAATGGACACTTTTCATTACTCATTCAGCAATTGTGGACAATTTTAATATTACTTGTAAGTAGTACCCCTCCAGCAGTTGTGTTTTTATTAGTGTTGATGGCAATCAGTGTAATTTTAAAATACATAAATAAAAAGTAATAAAAAAAAGAGATCGTTATTGGGAAAATTCATGTGTGTGAAAGACAAATGGAAGCGCGCAGATTTTCACAAAGGTAAAAACAAAGCATACAAAATCATAAAATGGACACTAATACAAGTTGGTATTTGCAGTTTTACATTTATTTTTTGCTTCATATAAAACAGTTGTTACTTTTAAATAACAG